GGAGGGGGCGGGGGGCCCCGGCCTCAGCCATGGGTGGCAACGCCACGCTGGGGCTGCGGGGCTCCTGCAGAAAGATGCAATGAAGGAAAAGAGGTCGTCAGCGTCCGTTAGGCCAGGGACCCCCTCCCAACCCTGCGGGCTGCATGGACCTCAAACCTTCTCAGATGCCCCCAAAGACACTATGTTCTCCCAAATATATCCAGACACTCCTGAGACCACTGAAGTCCCCCAATACCTCCAAACACACTGCTGACCACCACAAACCTCAAGATAGACTCCCTCTACTCCCCTTGCCCCGTGATGCGCTTTAATGACTTTGACAACTTGTCCCTGGGCCACTGGAGACTGGATTTCTTTATAGGAGCATATCTATAAGACAGCTATAGGTTTTTCTGTATCAATATTATGGACAATAGGAATCTATCTGAATAGCCTTGTTCATAGATGATTTGCATGTGTCTAAGTTTATCCATAAAATGAATTACTCAATGACAAATTTTAATTTCAGATAGTTTTGAAACAATTTCAGTAAATTTATACAAATGAAAGGCTACCAAAAGTATAAGCAAAGAACAAAAGACTGTAAAAATGACCATGATTATTTAAAGAAAATATAGGGCATCTAGAAATATATTTAAAGGAAATATGACTGCAACACAAATAATCGATAAAAGATTAATAGACACTTTGTGAAGAATTCCTAACAAATGGTAAGGAGGAATTGGCAGGTGGTGTGGTGGTTGAAGTGCTGGACTCTCACATGGTTGACTGCAGTTCTAGTACCATATCTGGTGACTTGTTTTCTAGCTTTCTCGCCCTGTCTCTGTCTCTCTCTGGTCAAATTAAAAATAAAATAAAATAATGACAATAAATAAAATAAAAATAAAATAATTTTTTAACAATAATAAATAAAACAAAGGAAAAACTAACAGAAAACTAGACAAAATACATGATCACATATGTCACAAAAATGGAAACGAAAATAGGTACTAAACACATGAAAAAATAGTTAACCTCATTAGTAATTAGAGAAATGCAAATTAAAATACCAGCAAGACTATCCAAAAAAGTTGCCAAAAATCAAAAAGTCTGATAAATGTTAAAATTGACATATAAAAAACTGTGAAGGGATTTCAAAATTTTTTAAATATTTATTTATTCTATTTTATTTATTCATTCATTTATTTTAATTTGACCAGAGAGAGAAAGAGAGGAAACAAGAAAGAAAGCCACCAGGTTCAGGACTCGAACTGTGGACGACCACGTGGGAGTGTCCAGTGTAGCTTGCTTTCTCACGTTCTCTCTGTCTCTCTCTGGTCAACCTGAAGAAAAACCATAATAAATAAATAAATAATCTTAAAAAAAATAAGATGCACATATATCCTCTGACTCACTCCTGGGATGTTATATTCCAGAGTAGCTTCTGCATATATCCTACTGCACACAAGTTCATGAAACATTACAGAAGCACTGGCGATAACAGCATAAAAGTGGGGAAGAGGGAAAAGAAAGAAAAGAAAAGGCTGGAAACAACCTAATTCCCACTGACATAGTAGGAATGCATATAGAAACCAAGATATCCTCAAAAACACATAATATAAATATACTCATAGGCTAGAATCTTCAACAGTAAAAGCTAAGTGAATTATATCCACACAGTTCAATATGGAGGAATGTAACGACCAAAGTAGAGCCAAAAAAAGGCAAGTTTCTGAATCCCACTGCAGACTGCCTGAGAATACCAGACACCCTGGAGGACTTCCTAGTGACCCTTAGTGACTACCAAGAGCCAGACTTCCAGCATGATTCCATTTTTATGACGTTCAAACAGGTAAAACTAAACATGGGTCAACCACTGGCATGGTGGGTAAGGCGGCTGGATTCCATATGGCAACCGAGTGGTTACAGTCCCAGATCCAGAGGCTTGAAAAACATACCAGGCATGTGTGTGTGCATGGCCAAAATCACAAGAGGAAAAATGGAGATGGGATTACTGCATTGCCATCTCCCCTGGGGGGTGATTTCTCACTTTCTCTCTCTCCCTCCCTCTCTCTCTCTCTTTCTCACAAGTGAGCGCATGCGCCCTTTAGCAGACATTAAGAAAAAAGAACTAAACAATAGATTGTTAAGAGATATGTATATCTGTGCTATGCTACAAAAAATTTAAGGGATCAATGGGCAGAAAATACAGGGCAATGGAGCCAACAGGAGGTGTGGTGGTTAAGGACGCTGGACTCCCATTTGGCCAGTCACAGTTCAAGTCCTGGACCTGGCAGCTTGCGTTCTCATTTTCCTTTTCTCTCTCCACCCCCCACCCCTGGCTCTCTCTGGTCAAATTAAAATAAATAAATAAAGTTAAATGAAATAACTCTTTTAAAGATAATAGAGGACAATGATTACGGGGGAAGAGGAACTGCAGTGTGTGGGGGGGAACAGCAGCTTCTACTTATTAGTCATATTCTTAGGCTGAATGGTAGGTACACAGGGAAGGATTATTTAGTCACTATTCTTTATGTTGTACATATGTTAAAGATATATGTGTGTGTGTGTGTGTGTGTGTGTATAATACTGAATAATTTTTTAAATCCCCCATCCAATTACAGCCACACAGTTCAATACAGACATATAGACAGCTTTGAAGAGCTAGGGGATGCTGCTGCATTAAGTGCCCTTCTTGGTGCCCATCACTCTCCAGCCCCTGGGGAATCACACACTGGCCAGCAATCATAGTCTCATACACACTCACACCGACCCACTGCTGTTCCTGCAGTTACACCACCCAGGTGCAAGGATACGCACCACCCTTAAAGACACGACACAGCACAGAACCATCATGGCTTCCCTCTCCACGATGACACAGCTCCACAAAGAAACAGAGAAACAGCTTCACCAACACACATACAAAATCCCAGACACCCAGTCCAACAAAACCACCATGGAACGTCCATTCACATGGAGATGCAAGGACCACTCCCTCCCAAACAAACATGAAATCACATAGACTCACACCAACATATAGAAAGACACGCCCATAGGCCACCCATCACAGATAAGGACACACAAATGCACAGGGTGTCAATGGAAAAACAATCGGGCCCATAAAAAATGTCACACAGACGCGTCCTCAGTATTACACACACGACACACCCAGATGCACAGCAGCACCTCTGTAGAACATTCAGAAGTAACCAAAGGACACACACTTACAAGGACACAACCTTTCCCTAAACACACACACACACACACACCCTGTCATCACATCCCGCGTACGCATATCCATGCGCTCAACACCATTTCTTAATGCGTGCTAGTGCCATGGACAGCGCCACTGAGGGCAGGCTGGGCGAGGCCAGGCCTGGCCGGGGGTGCGGAGCAGTGGGCAAGGCGTGGCTGGCCGCCCGCGCCACATACCAGGCATGTGTGTGTGCATGGCCAAAATCACAAGAGGAAAAATGGAGATGGGATTACTGCATTGCCATCTCCCCTGGGGGGTGATTTCTCACTTTCTCTCTCTCCCTCCCTCTCTCTCTCTCTTTCTCACAAGTGAGCGCATGCGCCCTTTAGCAGACATTAAGAAAAAAGAACTAAACAATAGATTGTTAAGAGATATGTATATCTGTGCTATGCTACAAAAAATTTAAGGGATCAATGGGCAGAAAATACAGGGCAATGGAGCCAACAGGAGGTGTGGTGGTTAAGGACGCTGGACTCCCATTTGGCCAGTCACAGTTCAAGTCCTGGACCTGGCAGCTTGCGTTCTCATTTTCCTTTTCTCTCTCCACCCCCCACCCCTGGCTCTCTCTGGTCAAATTAAAATAAATAAATAAAGTTAAATGAAATAACTCTTTTAAAGATAATAGAGGACAATGATTACGGGGGAAGAGGAACTGCAGTGTGTGGGGGGGAACAGCAGCTTCTACTTATTAGTCATATTCTTAGGCTGAATGGTAGGTACACAGGGAAGGATTATTTAGTCACTATTCTTTATGTTGTACATATGTTAAAGATATATGTGTGTGTGTGTGTGTGTGTGTGTATAATACTGAATAATTTTTTAAATCCCCCATCCAATTACAGCCACACAGTTCAATACAGACATATAGACAGCTTTGAAGAGCTAGGGGATGCTGCTGCATTAAGTGCCCTTCTTGGTGCCCATCACTCTCCAGCCCCTGGGGAATCACACACTGGCCAGCAATCATAGTCTCATACACACTCACACCGACCCACTGCTGTTCCTGCAGTTACACCACCCAGGTGCAAGGATACGCACCACCCTTAAAGACACGACACAGCACAGAACCATCATGGCTTCCCTCTCCACGATGACACAGCTCCACAAAGAAACAGAGAAACAGCTTCACCAACACACATACAAAATCCCAGACACCCAGTCCAACAAAACCACCATGGAACGTCCATTCACATGGAGATGCAAGGACCACTCCCTCCCAAACAAACATGAAATCACATAGACTCACACCAACATATAGAAAGACACGCCCATAGGCCACCCATCACAGATAAGGACACACAAATGCACAGGGTGTCAATGGAAAAACAATCGGGCCCATAAAAAATGTCACACAGACGCGTCCTCAGTATTACACACACGACACACCCAGATGCACAGCAGCACCTCTGTAGAACATTCAGAAGTAACCAAAGGACACACACTTACAAGGACACAAACTTTCCCTAAACACACACACACACACACACCCTGTCATCACATCCCGCGTACGCATATCCATGCGCTCAACACCATTTCTTAATGCGTGCTAGTGCCATGGACAGCGCCACTGAGGGCAGGCTGGGCGAGGCCAGGCCTGGCCGGGGGTGCGGAGCAGTGGGCAAGGCGTGGCTGCCCGCCGAGCCCTGGACAATGCCACACGCCAAAACCGAGTGTGG